CGAAAGCTGAAGCGTGTAGCATCGGGGCTTATTTTTGCCTTGGTACAGCAGTACTGACTTATTCTCTCGAGACTTATTACTCTAGGTCCTCCGCTACATGAATTAGTTGATTCCTCTTCTTGTCTCAAGATACTAAAGCCGAATTATCTTGCATGAACAATAACCTCTATTAACATGCCTTTATTCACTTTACAACTACATACGAAACACATCCTTTTCGCGTCTTCTATCGTGGTTGTTCTAATGCTTATATTCACCGCGGTAATCCTGGTGCTAGTCTTTGATAATCTTGCAGATTACTTGCACTGTCCGCACGAAGAAATCTGCCCCGAGTCTCTAGCAGTCAACGTCACCTCGTCTTCCCACTACTACGTCGATTTTTCGGCTACTAGACTGGTATTCGTGTCCTCCCTATCGTCCACTATTAGCTTCGCCCTCGTAGGTGCTCTTATGTCGATCTACGCTTATTGCGCCGCGGATAGACTCACACGGGCTTCTATATCACCTAACTAAAACAAATGCCTTCCGACCTCGTACCACACTAGTCTTCTAATCAGACTGCTTAATGCAGACTATTTGTCACTGTGGGAGCTGTCGCGACAATGGTGTGTCTGGCCTCTTCGACGCGGCACGAAAAGCAAGTACTATGTGCAAAGCCCGAAACCCACAAAATCCTGAGAGCATCAACTGCAGTCCTTTGTCTGGGCCTGATCGCTAGGTACAATTATGAACTCCGTGCACATTACTTTCGCGCTGACAAAGATAGTATATTCGTCTATGCCGCAGACAGCTATCTCCATATAGCCACTGAGACAGTGGAGATGGTCCAAATGTTTACGCAAGATCCTGCACAGCATCGATACGGCAGGAACATTGATTCTTGGTGCTTTGATAATCGTGAAGCGATGGGTACCGAGCGGAACAAAAACTTTTGGGGTTGCACGATGAATCTAACAAGCGACTATCTATTGTCTAACAACCTGTCTAACGTTGATGCCGTACAACGTGCAGGCTACGGCAAGTTCATTATGAATTTCACCGAGGAGACCGGGACCAAGTATGCGGTTGTGGGCCCAACAACGTCGCCCTCAGCTGCGGATTGGAAGGCGACGTTATTCGCTCTGTCCTCGCGTTGTGTTCCAATACCTGCGACAGCTTGCAATATCGAAGTAAATCCGGAAGCAACTAATGACGATGGCAGTATTAGCATACCCTTTAATTGCTCCATCGCTCGTGGCTCTCCAATTGACTACTCTGGAGTAACGCGTGGCAACCTCATGGCATATACCTTCTTTAATTTTCACAAATACCTGTTAGAACAGGGAACATCTTTCGTTACTAACGCTTTTGATGTGCCTGGTCTAATGTCGTCGTATAGCAACACTACAGACTAAGAGGGAGCTGAAATGGTTCCAAGCACATGGAGGTGGACAGCAGGCGTTAGAGTTAGTGACCTTTCGAGCCTACCGCAGGATATGATTGATATAGCCTGGTTCCTGCTATTAGGTTATTACATGGTTCTTGCATGCAACAGTACAGGTGTGTGGCCGCTTCTTGAAAGCATCTAATGACCGTGGCAGACCTTAACTAATGCGATATTATAGTACATGACGTTACGTATAGCACTGCTGGCGGCGTGGTTAAGAGTCTGACTGCAAAGGAGAGCAATGCTACAGTGGCAAGCATTTCTATACTTCCTTTAGTTAGTTTCTTTGGTTTTACAGAAAAGTTCAAGTATGAGCTACTGCGGGTGGTGAACCTACCTGTGTTATTGGACTTCTGGATATCGACTTATGAAATCGCAATGAGTGTGCTCTTTGCTACACCTCTAGCAGTATACACAGTACCGGCGGATAGTATCGTGGTGCAGACTCGAGCCCGGAAGATTATGACTAGCGTACCTGTCGCTGCTGTCTGGCTACTAGTTCTCGCAAACCTGTTCTTTGCAGCTCTCGGAACTGGAATCGCCATTATGGCTTGGATGGTAGCGGATCAAGACGTTTATTAAGTAAGGACGCGGCTTGGTGTTCCCGGATTAGCGGCTGCTCTCTTCGAGAGGAACTCCGAGAACTGCATCGTCAAGTCTGACAAGGAGTTGTACCAGGAGAACGATAAGGGCGGGCTGTCGCTGGTTCTTGTTGGAGTTCAGCATACCGTAACTGGAGGCATGGCGTGGTCACTTCGCGACACCCAAACTGGCCGGCCGTGTTTGGCGGACGGAGCGAAAATGTCGACTGCTCACATCAGTGACACCACGCACTCGATTTCAGAAGAGACGACCGGCACTGAGAATTTCGACCGCATGTCCAAAAGCTCTGGTAATGAGGCTGTGAAACATCAGCCAATCTCCGTCGTACCTTCAGAACTTGTCACCCAATCTGACGCTGTCAGCCCGATGCAACAATCTAATCACTGGGTGTAAAGAGAGACACCTACAGCCGTGGTCTCCCCGACCTATGCGACACCATGAGTGTATATGGCAGAGAGGGAAGGCGAGCCTTTGGCTGCAGTTTGACATGGAGGCTGCCCAGGTGTGCGAATGTCTGACTATCTCGACGCGAAAATCAAGGCGACTGGAACCTTGATATCATTACGAATAGATTCATACAAATGTGTATCATTGTTGAGATTGAAAGAAGAGTGCACTGAATCGATAGTGTTGCGTCGGCTTCCCCATTCCGTGACTGGCGTGACGTCACCGAACCCTGCAAGATAGCCCGAACCGACCCCGGGGTCATACCTAGGTACCACCCATCAACATTATTACATCAACATCAGCCTCCAAAGAGACTAGAGGATCTTTCAGCTACTTTTAATCATCTACAGGCCTCCTATACAGAGATATACTACAAGTCCGCGTCCGCTGTCGATCGACAGTCTGGCGACCTGGCAAATGCAACACCGGACTTTGGGGTAACGTCCGTAACAACAGACTAATCTCTTTCACTAAATGCCGCAGTGTTTCTGGTTCCATATTTGCCCTGCGTCGGGACATGCTCATCGACGAGGCTTGCCGTGATACCGTAACCGCCATGGTTTGCTTTCATCGCCCACCAGCTTTCTCTCCGCTTCTCTCATCACATCTATCTATCCGTTCTACGAAAAGCGAGGCAACATGTCAATATTAGGGTCAAATATGCGAGACCAGTGCGAGATGATCGAAAACGGACACCGCGATCAGAATGGCAGTTGTGACATGACACATGCTGGAGTACCCCAGGCCGCCACTTTACCACCGCATGATAGCGAGAAGACCGACGAGAGCAGCAACAAGGGTGAACGAAGTGACATCCTCGATATCGCAGGACAGACTAGTTCAGGCCTCAAGCTGAACAAATGGCAGGCGTCGCTGATCTACATCACGAATCAGGTGGGCATCGGCATTTTGGGTTTACCTGCGGCATTGCAAACTCTCGGGTTGATCCCAGGAACTATCTGCATTATCGGGCTAGGTAAGTTAGACACCAGAAGAATGGACACTATGAGCCATTTGCTAACACGAGTTCTGGTAGGCATCACGGTCATGTATACAGCATACGTTCTACTCCAGTTCTTCAGGAGATATCCTTCGGTCTTGAGTTGCGTCGACTGTTTCAGAATTATCGGCGGTACCTCTCTGTCCACGATCGTCGGCATTGGCTTCGTACTCAACCAGCTCTTTGCTTGCTCATCTGCCGTCATCACAGTGAGCATCGCGCTTAACAGCATCTCGGAGCATGCCATGTGCACCATCTTGTTCATTCTGGTTCCTACTATCTTTTCTTACGTTCTGTGTATGCCCAGACGCATGCAGTTCCTGGCGGATTTTGGCAGTGAGTCTAGCTTTTGTGTCGTCAGATGAAATGCTAAAAAGTGGCAGTTCCCTGCACTATCTCAATCCTTGCTGCGACTATCATCGTCATGGTTACACTTGGTATCGCTGGACCTAACGGTGCGCCACCAGGATGGGAGAAAGAGATCGTGCTAGTTGGTCATCCTTCCTTCGCGCAAGGTTTTACCTCCGTTCTTAATATCGCTTTCGCATATGCCGGCAATCAGGCGTTCGTTACAGTGATGGCAGAGATGCAAGACCCGTCAAAAGACTTCATGCCTTCCGTGTTCATTCTACAGGGCTTCGCAATTCCCATGTACACGATCGTTGGAACAGTCGTCTATGTATTGGCTGGAGAATACACAACCAGTCCGGCGCTCGGCGCAGCACCTATGATGATAGCTAAGATCGCATATGGTCTTCTCCTACCTACGCTACTTGGAACATCGCTGGTGTTTGGCCATACATCGATCAGATACATGTTCATCGAGTGGTTACGCTTCATGGGCAGAGAGCGCGAGTACGGCCAAAACACCCGGCAGACCTGGGTAATGTGGCTCGGTATTGGCGCCACCTTCTGGACCCTTGTATTCCTTCTCGGCAACGCCATACCACTCTTCCATTCGATCCTGTCGGTGTCGGCCGCGCTCTTCGTCTCCTGGTTTACATTTGGGATATCGGGAGTCATGTGGCTCTACCTCAACTGGGACGTTCAGTTCCGCGATTGGAAGAAGACGTGTCTGGCTGTTCTAACTTGGACGATAATCGCATTGACTTTGTTTGCGAACGGTTTCGGTCTGTGGGCTTCAATTGAGCAGCTCGTAGCTGCGTACCATAATCCTCTCGTTCCTGTCGAAGGCTCGTTCACATGTGCTGATAATAGCGTTTGGGGGTAGCTAGGTATGCGGCTTTAGTTCTTGAGCGTTCGTTTATAATTCAGTTCACACGCGAGGAATACCACAAGTAGAAGAAACGGGCCCCTGGTGTTCAACGCTGTCGCTCTGTCTTATGTTAAATACCAGTGTATAGATCACGAGGACCAGGCAGTAATATAGACTTCCAGAGTGTGCTCATCATTCACATGACGCCTTTACATACAACTCGAACAGGCGCAATGTCTTCTCGTATTTGATGCAGAACGTCTTCCGCGTCTTGCCGAATTTCCTCATCCGTTCTTGGTTCAATTTCGCTAATACCTGTCGTCGTCCACCAGATACCGAGAGTCACTCTTGTTGGTAAAAATCTTGCTTCTTGCAGAGCATCCCTGATATCTGTCGCGTACATTATCCCACGCTCTCTTCTCAGATCATCTCTCGACATAGACCGCGGCGGTACCTTGCAATGTCTGAGATCGGTCGGACTCGTTGCCTCCCGAGTGTCAATTCCCAGATCAATTTCTTCCAATGCTGGGAAGCGTGCCAGAAGGGCAAAAACACGTTGCAACTCATCCAAAAGCTGCAGGCAGAAAGCTTTGTGAACGGCGAAGAGCGTAATCATATTGTCCGGATGCAGCGATACCCGATCGATACTGAAGCTGGGAATAGTGATGTATTTGACCAGCTTCCTGTTCTCGGCTCCGATTTGGCGATAGAATTCTCGTGCCACCCAGCGTATGGATTCTGAGCCGTTGTGGAGGAAGAAGTTGAAACGACTGAAGCAGTAGTTGAGAAGCTCGTCATGGAAGATGCGGCTGACGAATACCAGGCCTTGGATGCTTTCGAGACCTTGCAGTTCATAGCCACCGTGTCGCTGTCGGACGCTTATATTGATCGTTCGACTCTGGAAACTTTGCGCGAGAAGGTAGTGATATATCTGCTGACGGATTTCGAGTGGTAGCCTGAGGAAGCCCGGGATGGTGGTTGTCATTGTTGATGACGTTGAGGAAGTTCTCGATGCACGGATATTCGCATGCAGTGTCGATAGCGGTAACAGCGCAATTGGAATATCTACAGAATATGCACGTGGTAGAGACGTTCGATAAGACAGATGCCTATTCGCAGAGATCTCAACGCGTGCGCATCTTAAGTCGCCCAGGTCTGTGCTCATGCGGCACAGCAACCCCGCAAACGGCCTACCAAGTTCTGTAGACAATGCTGTTGGTGACACCTCTGGCCAGGCTACTTCTCCATGTTCAACCACGAAAGTCGGATTCCCACCGCCTGATCTCCGGCATTGTCGCAGGATCCATGTCTGGCATGCCACGTCTAAATTGCGTCCCACCGAGAAGATTGGCAACCTCCACCGGCCCACAACATGAGCGTTTTCACGGCTGGGAACAATGCGCACATACCAAAGCTTGTTTGAACAAGATATTGCTATTTGTTGGCAAATAGATTAAACACTAAAAACTACCTCCAAGCCACCTTCGCTATCGACTTGCAGTAAACATAGTATGGTCAGAATGAAGACAGATGCAAGACGTGAACGCATAACGTAGCTAAACGTGATTGACAAAAGAGCTACGGGCTACATCATAGGGACTCTACAAAGAGACATCGATGGAGATGTTAAGTCCGTCGAGGAGGGCGTCGACGCAGCCAAAGTTCTGCTCGACGTTGAGGTCACCGGGCGCCTTCCAGCCGTCGTTGGCGAAGGAGAAAACGCAGGACTCGGGACCGACGCTCTCGAGAATCTTCTTCATGGCAGTCTTCTGCTCCTGAACACCGGCAACAGCCTTGCCGTTGGAGGTACCAGCGCTGGGCCAGCCGATCTCAGTGATGAACTTGCCCTTGGCAGCGGCCTCGGGGCAGACCTTGGCGGCTTGCTCGAGTTGCTGAGCAGCGAAGTCACCAGCCATGTCGGCAGTGACGGACTGGGTGAAGTAGGGGTGGATCTGGACGGTGAAGATGTCGATGTGGTCGCAGAGAGCATCACCAATCGTCTCCCACGAGCCAACAGTCTCGGTGGTGGTGATGGCGATGTCAGAGGGGAAGCCGGCGCCACGGAGCTCATCACGGACGTAGTCGAGGTAGGAACCAAGCTCGCTGACCTCGCAGTTACCGTTGAAGACGCACTCGTTTCCAACAATGACCATGGCGACAGAGTCCTTGGGGGCGTTCTCCTTGATGTCGTTCAACTGGTCGTTGGCGTAGCTGGAGAAGGGACCCTTTCCGGCCTTGCCACCGGCCTCGAGGAAGATGCCGTAGATGACCTTGAGTCCGTACTTGGTGCACTCAGGGACAACGTGCTCGAAGACACCGCAGTCAGTGCTGTATGAGCGGATGGTGGTGAAACCGAGCTCAGAGATCTTCTTGATGTCGGCAGCAATCTCGTCGGCGGTCCTGCAGTTACCATCATTGGCGTAGGGAGTGTAGGTAATGGCCCACTTGTCGCCGTTGGTCTTGATGTGCTCACCGTTGTTGTAGCTGCCGGTGGGCTTGGGCTTGTCAGAGCCGTGGGTGGCACTGGGAGTGGGCTTGGGCTTCTCAGCCTCCTTGGAGGAAGCAGGGACCTCAGGGGTGTAGGCAGGCTTGGACGCCTCGGGAACCTCAGGAACAGCAGGCTTGGAGACCTCAGGAACGGTGGGGTAAGCCGGCTTGGAGGGAGCAGGGACCTCAGGGACCGCGGGCTTGGTGGTCTCGGGAACCTCAGGGACAGCGGGCTTAGTAACCTCAGGGACAGAGGGGTAAGCGGGCTTCGAGTTCTCTGGGACCGGGGCAGGACCAGTGGGCTTTCCCTCCTCCTCAGTGCAGGTGGTGGAGGTCTCCGGGACAGCGGGGACAGCTGGGGTGGAGTGCTCTGGGACGGGAGCAGGGCTGGTGGGCTTGGGGGCCTCCATGGAGGAGGTCATGCCCTCCTCCTCAGTGCAAGTGGTGGAAGACTCCGGGACAGCGGGAACAGCTGGCTTGGAAGACTCAGGAACTGCGGGGTACGCAGGTGTGGAGGACATGGGCACCTCAGGCATCGCGGGCTTGGAAGACTCAGGCATCGCGGGCTTGCTGGACTCGGGAACCGCAGGGTAGCCGGGCATGGAAGATCCGGGTACTACGGGAGCCGGGCTGGAGGGAGCCGGAACGACGGGAGTGTACATGGAAGTCTTTCCCTCCTCAGTGCAGGAGGTGGAGGCGGTCTCCGCACCAACGGAAGTTGGGACGGCGGGCATGGTGGAGTTGGGAGCCATGGAGGGCACTGAATCATGTTAGTCGCTGCAAGACAATGGCCATGACTGTTCTTCTTCGTTCACAGCTCCTTCTAGCATGGGTTTCACATACTTGCGGTTTCGTAGACGGTGGTGTAGACCGTGCAAACCTCCTCGGGAGCATAAGCTCCACGGCGCATGTGGAATCCAGCATGAGCCTTGTGCTGCGCGGCAACAGCAGACCCAACGAGGGCAGCTGCAACGTATGAGTAACGCATATTGAACTTGTTTACGTGGTTTGGGGTGGCTAGGGGTAGTGGTGATCGTCCGCTGAGCGAGTGAAGCGGGTAATATTAAGTAAAGTGTGTAATGAGTGACGGGGCACAAAGGCCAAGGGTGCTTGTCAACGAGGCTGGTGATGCGTAACTTGAAAGCCTTGCGTAGTGAGAAAAAGAAGGAAACCTTGGGGAACACAGCGGTTTTGACCTATGTGCCATGGCCTGTGAGCACCAGTTGGTGGAGAACTGCCTCTAAGGCGTTAGGTTAGGGGTCCTGGAAATTGGCGTGATCATTGTTGTACAAGAACGGCATGGGCGGCATCCTACGGCTCTATTGAGATCGTGATGTGCTCCGAGCGGAAATGAGTCTGGGGTATAATTGTCGTGTTAGGTCGAGGGTGGGTCCAGTCTAGGTCGGGATGGGGCTAGCCTACTTTCACCCTGAGCAACCCTCCCGTGCAGGAGAGAGCGTCACGGCAACAAACACCACACCAAGTCTTTGCGCCAACTCCGCCGGGGAACGAGTGAACTCTATCGCAGCATAGCCACTTGTTGTATTTCTCTTAGCTGCCATGTGCCCGATAACCGTTTTGGTAAGACCCTCCTCGTGTCGCTAATTAGGACCCATCGAATGGTTCCATCCTCATCAAATCCACGGCAACGCGCATATCAGCAATCACAAGCAGCAATCGCGAACGGCTAATCTTTGTGCAGCTCGTAGTAGAGCAAGGGCACAGCTTGCGCCACCATGCAGGTACAGAACGACTTGTGCAGGGCTCTACCTACCGGGCGTTCTTTAATTGGCCGAAAGCCGCATCGAAGGGTTGGGGTGGATGTTCAGGCGGTGCTGGGTGTTGGTGCGTGCCCCTTTCTTCTCACGACTCAAGACCGGCCGGCGCGTTATTACCGCACCCACCGCTATTGATGGACATCACTAAACTCTCCGCTTGACGATACCGCGTTCTTCGGCAGACAGACACCCGCGACCTGCTAAACATAGATGTGGCTAAGTGGATTTTTTCGTGCGCATGAATACGGTGTGTATGTCAACTTTACGAGCGGCGATCCATCGCAATTACAATGGCGCGTAGTCAGTTGTACCAAGCGCTGAGAGCCTTGGGTGCCTGGTCGGCATTGGCTACATAATTCGGTGCCGAGCGATTAAACAACAAGTCAGGCGACCACTCTGTACCCGCGCTGACAGCCCTTCCGTCCTATAGCTATAGGCACTCGTTCGCCAATGAGCGACCAGTCAAGCTAGAACATGTAGCAAGCAAACTCCAGCATTCGTCGCATCGTTGGTATTCCTACGGCTTCCTCCGGTCCTCAGCTTACAACCCAAGGATGGTCAGGTTGTACACTTATGGATTTGCATACAACTTAAGAACTGTTGTGAGTCGAGTATGTATTGTTATGCCACGAAATACCGTAATGTAGATCCAATTCCTCCAGGGCTACTTCGAGAACATCACTACGACCCAGTCTTCTGATCCACCCCCAGAGTCTGGACTCCCACCTCCCTACTTCGCAACGACCTCATCCTGCCTGTAGTACTTCGATTTGATCATATCGGCAAAATGATTAGCTCCATCTCGACTGAAATGCCCCTCTTTCCCCTTTAACGTTTTGACTGCCGCCTTTGTGGACCGTGGAAACATTTCCTCCTCGTAGTCCTTCACAGCATCATCCAGAGATTTCTCTCCACGGCACACTTTGGCAATCTCCATCCCCAATACCAACGCGTCCTTCATGCCCGTGTTGACTCCTAGTCCAGCAAACGGCGTGAAGACATGCGCAGCGTCGCCGATAAGGGTAACGCCTGAGCGAGATGGCCAGCGAAATCCAACCGGCAGCTCGTACAGATTGCGAGGAATGAGACTGTCTTCATCAGAGGACATGATAAGACGCTTGAGATCATCGTGAATATGAGAGAGGTAGCGGTCGACAAAAGTGTTGCGCGCCGTCGCTTTGTTGTCCCAATCGATGCCACAGGTCTGCAGGAAATCCTCCGGCGCATGCACGCTGGCGTATGTCCCTAGGCTACCGTCACCCTGCCGTTGGGACTGCACCGCGCAACCCTCCCCGAAAGCGAACATCGAGCCCGAGCCGACGTAGTCAAGCAGCCAGGGATCAGCCTTGATGTCTTTGCACGACACTGCGATAGAAGCTATACCTGAGTACTGTGGCATCTGGTCGGTGAGAAGTTTGCGAACCTTGGACCACGCGCCATCTCCACCGACCACAAGATCGAATCCGGACTCTTTCGTGCCGTCTGAGAAGTGCAGATCGTACTTCCCCTCTCCTTCAGCAGAGGGCACGACTTCCTTCAACTTCTTTTCGAATTGTACGGACCCCTCCTTCAGGTTCTCAAACATCAGCGTCGCCAACGCCATTCGATCGATCTCAGGTCTTCCCTCAAACTTCTCATCCTCTTTGATGTCTTGCTTGTCAGCGCCATTCTCATCCCAGAGTACCTCTCCGTCCAAAGTCACAACCTTCATGCAGTCGCT